AAATAAATCATCTGTACATTCCTTTAGGTGTATCTTATGTAATAGCACCAAAACATGAATATAATTTTAATAATATGACTTACATACTAACAAGCCAATGGATTTTAAGAAATATATTGATATTTTAATATGCATTGAGACTGTTCGGTTCCATGCATTATTAAATGTCAATCTGCCCACTGTTATATCAAACTGCAAAATGTTTTGATCACTTGATAGCCACTGCAGTGAAAATAACACATAGCATAAAAATAGCCACATTAGAGGATACCAACACAAATAAATCATCTGTACATTCCTTTAGGTGTATCTTATGTAATAGCACCAAAACATGAATATAATTTTAATAATATGACTTACATACTAACAAGCCAATGGATTTTAAGAAATATATTGATATTTTAATATGCATTGAGACTGTTCGGTTCCATGCATTATTAAATGTCAATCTGCCCACTGTTATATCAAACTGCAAAATGTTTTGATCACTTGATAGCCACTGCAGTGAAAATAACACATAGCATAAAAATAGCCACATTAGAGGATACCAACACTTTTGTATGTGTGTTTGTGTCTATGTGTGTGTCCGTGTTTTGAGAAGAGCCAGGTAATGTTCTTCCCCATGCATAGTACAGCCAGCGCCAACTTTTCACTTATATCTGAGATTTCTCTATTATAACCTCTAAAAAATCCTTTGTTAAGCCCTCTGCGTATGTGATAGATCTTATGCATTGTATAAGTAATGGACATTTGAGTTAGGAATACCTAGGAAATCTTTTATTTAATAATGATTTTAATGGGAAAGTATTTATAAGTATGTCCCTATTTTTATTATTGTTGTTTTGCTGTAGTAGAAGAATGACTAAGTAAGAAATTGGATTCTCACTTTCCGGTTTTAGAGTCCAAGTTTTTCTTTTCTTTTTTTTTCTTTTTTAAGGATTTTATTTATTTATTTGACAGAAAGAGAGCACACAAGCAGGGGGAATGACAGGCAGAGGGAAAAGCAGGCTTCCTGCTGAACAAGGAGTCAGGGACTCAATCCCATGATCCTGGGATCATGAACTGAGCTGAAGGCAGACACTTAACCCACTGAGCCACCCAGGCATCCCTACGGTCCAAGTTTCTTTCGGAAAGTAGCCATTTATCAACTCCTTCAACAAAGGACTTTAAGAAAGGAAAACTGGTTGTTTTTCACCAGTTCTTACTTAATTGTATTTGAAGTATAAAAATACAATGAAAGAGAATTATTCCAGTGTCTTCTCAATAATAAATCCATCAACAAGCATTCTCATGGAACAATTTTGTCCTAGGTGTGGTAAGAACTATATAAAGAGACAAATCTACTTGAGAGAAACATAGAAATTCTCAATGACAGTACACAAGAATAAGAGCTATAACAGACATATACATACCCTATAGAGAGGTTTCAATCAAAGAAGAAGTGATTAACTTTATCCTCAGGCACCAGAAAAGGCATCACTACTCATTTTCATCTATATGGGGAAATATAAAGGCATTATTATAGTAGAACAGGAAAAGCTAAAGTAACATTAAAGGCTGTTTAGCTTAATTCTGTAATTTTATCAAAGGAAGCCATGTATTCAAGTTGAATGATGTTCCCAATATCCCACTCTCACTTCAGAGGTAAAGTTAGGATTAGAACTTATTTACTTTAAATCTGTGTTTTGTGTTTTTTTACTTAAACTATAGACAAATATTTATTTGAAAAGAATATTTTTTAATAGTAGAATTTTGGCATAGGGTCCCAGATGGGGCATTTTGTTACTTCTTAAACAAAAACATGTGATCAAAATTTTGTCCTAGGAGTACAAAATTGGATAAAATTTCAACATAAATAAGACTAAGCTTATAATATTTTAAGAGTAATTATTTATGATCACATTGTTTCTGATTCCATTTTAAACATTATTTTGCATAGGTTTATTCTGTTTTCTGCACAAAATGATTTCTGTTCTCCTGTTCCCATGGAGGGTGCATACAAAATGACCTCATCATTTTTCCATTGGCACACAGTAGGGGTATTATCTGCCTTGCCTCTTCCATCTCTCTGTGCCTTTGACCAAATATAAAACTAGCAAAGCCAAGGAAAGAATTGTATTTTTAATAGCAGATTTTTCCTCTCAGTTAAAAAGTCTTCTCTGCTCTGTTGGGCGTTTCAAAGGGGCCTCTTTTAAGCTGCTTCTAAATGTGGAAATTATTTGGGTAAGAATCAAAGTCATTATGTTTATGAAGTTAATCACTTTAAAAGTCACTGAGTTTAAAAGAACAAATCGAATTAGATCAAAATTGCAGGTCTGTAGTCTGGGAGTTCTTCCAGGAGAGGAACCTTGTCATCTTCATCTCTGCATCCCACAAAGCTTGTCATGACTAGTTTGCATATCTCTCTCTCTCATGAGGTTGAGTTCTGTGAGTCTGGAGCCCATGTTTTTCATTTTAGTTTCTCCTGAGTAGAGCATCTGTTATAAAATACCCTCTCAATAACAGTCTGTTGAATGATCACATCAATTGTTTTTAGACACTTGTATTTTTTGTTTTAAAAAAGAGAGTGTTCAATTAGATCACAGGTTATTGTTCCCTGTGAATTTGTAGTTACACGTGAAATTAAGTATGTGTTTCAGAGGGCAGTTTAGTGAAATAAAGTCGGACTAGGGGTGTGGTCTCTTGCCAAAGAAATTATAACCAAATGCTTTATTTCCATGCCATATTTTCAACTTCCTAAACGCGCATGCTCTTTAAAGTATTACTTTGTTAGTATTTGAGTTACAGATGTGTTATTGGAGGAGAGAAATAAATTCCCCAACCTATGGAGTCAGAAGTGCTGCCAGCTGAGGTGCTTTACCAAGGCTAATCTTGAAGGAACAATAGTTAGCCAGGGCTGCTTTCTAAAAGTGACTGCTCTTATGACGAGAATTGGCAAAAATGATGACATGACTGTTTCAAGAGAAAATAGCAATAAATCTGTTTTTCTTTTTAAAGCAGTTATTCTAAAAAATTAAAAATGTTTAAAAAAAAGTTATTCTAGTGTGTGTGGGGGTGGGTGTTTTTGTTCAAGGACAAAAAAAAAAAATCACAGGTCCTTTGCCCCTTTAACATAACAGCTACTGAAAGTGAAAGTGTCCATTGGCAAACTAGAATTTCAGAATTTGGCTTCATCCGCATCCATCCTTAACGGGCTAAGCCCAACAAAGAAAATTCACTTTGAGTTTTCAGTTTGGGTGGATTTTTTTTTTTTTTTAATAGAAAAGATGGTGGTAAGCACTTACACATTTTAATGGAGTGTGGTTTCAGTGAATGGTGGTGCACAATTTACCCTCTGGTCACATGCGGATCCCTTACTTATCAATGATGCTTTATCATTGTGCGTCCCTGAAACTTGCAAAGTTCTTTAACTTATAATAGTTACTTAATTGTCTCCAGGCCCTTCTAATATGAATACTATTGAGTGAAATAAGAAAACTGAGTCTGAGAAAATTTAAAAGGCTGAGCTATAACTCAGTTGCGACCTTATGACTGAATGATGGAAATTTGTTTCATCATTTCATTTTTCTCCCCCAAAACAATGCTTTTTTGTTCATATTTCAGAAAGTACAGATTTTTTTTTAAATTCCACAGACCCATGGATTTGTGGCCAGACTCTGATTATAATCAACACTAAAGAAAATCCTCCTTCTTACAAACAGAATTTTAATAAAACTAGTAACAAGCATCTGGTTTAACTTGAAAGTGACCACCTGTCAAAATGTGCACCACAAGTCAGTGGTATAGAACACATATGCAATAAAAATCCCACCCATTTTTTTTTAAAGGGAGTGTTCAGCATTTTCATTTTTGCTTCCACCTGTAACAACAAATTTTCTTCCAAAAAGGAAGGTACTGCAACTGCACAAAATCAAGTTAAACTCTTTGGTTATTACGTAGGCCATTAGACTATAGGGGCTGAAAGCAGCATACAATGAAGTGAGCAAGGCGATGTTGTGTAGTAAACATTAGCTTCATAAAGTCCCTAAAACACTTAATTAATGAAAACCAAACATGGATAAAACCAATTTACCCTGATTTACAGACTCTCTTCATCTGGAAACAGCTGCTTAATGTTCTTCTTAAAAACACAGCTTGCTTCTTTCAGTATTAACAAGCTATTATTGTGAGTTATGTCTTTCTTTCAGTATATAAATTCACTTAAAGCGAATGCCGAGAAGTTTATAAAATGCCAGTTTAATGTTGTTTTAACATATGCTGCAAGGAATTTTTGAACATTGACAGTTTTGATTAAAGGCATCTCTCTTTGGCTCTCATAAATTTAACTTTTTGCTTTTGAGCTGCCTCGCTTTATAATGTCAGAACAACGGCTTTTCAAAAACTACATCTGTTGGTACAAACACAAGCTGGTAGCATGGATGAGGGTTCAAAGATTGCGAGCTTTGGCATCAGAGCTGGGTGAACTTTCTCTTGGCAGAGCCTGCTGTAAGTGTAGCTCTAATTCCAGAGAATCTTTGAGGGTAAGAATGCTGTCAGGTGGATGAAGGAATTCTTAGTTGTTAAGACTCATCTGCAAAGCTAGAATGAGCTATACATAGAAACACATAAGCTCAGGCCCACCAGCTTCATGGACTCTCTAGCTTGGACATTCTGAATACAGAAAAATGTCCCTTTGTTCCACTGTCTTTTTTTTTTTTTTTTTAAAGACTTTATTTATTCATTTGACAGAGAGAGAGAGATCACAAGTAGGCAGAGAGGCCGGGGTCGGGGTGGGGGAAGCAGGCTCCCTGAGCAGAGAGCCCGATGCAGGGCTGGATCCCAGGACCCTGAGATCATGACCTGAGCTAAAGGCAGAGGCTTAACCCACTGAGCCACCCAGGCACCCCAAGTTCCATTCTCTTTTGATTGAGGTTCTTTAAATTTCCAACTCCCGCTTAAAAATAATTTTAAAATGCTGCAACTAGAGAATAAATGGTAGAGGTTAATATGTGGGACTGGGGTGCCTGAGTGGCTCAGTCAGATGAACTTCTTGCTCTTGATTTTGGCTCTGGTCTTGATCTCAGGGTTCTGGGATCAAACCCCGCGTGGGGCTCTGAGTTCAGCACAGAGTCTGCTTGGAGTTCCTGTCTTCTTCTTCCTCTGACCCTGCCCCCATTCATGTATGCGTGCTCTCTCTCTCTCTCTCTCTCTCTCAAATAAATAAATAATTCTTTTAAAAAAGCAGTTAATACATGAGACAATACCTTTTTTTCATAGCGTGTTAACAGCTGGATAAAGAAATTTTTTAAAAGTTGAAATAACCATTTTCATCATCTCCTTCTTTGTTTCTTCTTTCCACAACCTTCCTGAAATGAGGTTTTCCATCTCTTCTCCATTAAATTTTACCCTGTATCTGACAGTGAAATTTATCAAGTTAAAGGCTTCTTAGAATATGTTATTAAGGTACAATATATGCAAAATTAATTGAAGACGTTTCTGTTATAGTTATTTTTTTAAATCAAGCAATTCTGGAAAAATGGCAAGACATTCAAAAAGTTTAAAATGTTAAAAATCCTTTTGTTCTTGAAGATGAAACAATGGTAAAACTTCAATAGAGATTGTTGAATAAATGTGTAAGGACATGTTTTATTTTTAGCTTGCATTTTTAATATATTCAGTTTTCATGTAATTTTTATGACTGAACAAAACAGCATTTTCACATTTTTACTTGATATGATGTTCAGATTCAAAAATCTGATTTTCATTAAAAACAGCTGCTTATCCTCTATACCTTTAAGTGAATGAAAGGATAAAAACAGTTGTGAAATTGTGCCAATAGTGGGACTCTTGAAGGAGCCAGAAACTGATAAACTAATAAGTCTTTCATTTCATATTTGCTAGTGGGTATAAGCTTTTCAAATGCCTTTAAAATAGATGCTCTAACTTCACAACTCCTCGTCTTCTCATACACTTCCTCCAGGCATAGAAATTTATATGGGCTGTTTCTACACTTCTTCCTCTGGAATAAATAGTCCTACTTTCCTTGCAGAACTCAGCACTTGTTCTTTTTCCCCTTCCTGATTCTATCAACGTCCTCTCCCCTCCAGGCTTCCTTAACTCCTTGTCTATTTCATTCATAACATTTGCTTATGGATATTAGTTATGAATGTAACTTGACTAGTAACTTGATTAGTAGGAACTCAAAAAAATGACTGGAGTGAGTGAAGGTATTAATGAATAGAGAAAGACAAGAATGGAAATTCCTGAGCAATAACACATTACATATCCAACCATAAAAATAGTAACTGTGGAATATAGGAGAAGGATGATGAGAAGTGAAGCTAGACAAATTGGCAGGTCTAGGCCTGTCAGTCCTTTGCTATTTTAAGGAATTTGAATTAATTAAGTAAGCATCTTGGATACTATGGAGTATTTTAAGCAGGAGAGAGAGTTGTCCCACTCTTCATTTTGGAAATCATAACTTACAGGCAATGTGAACTCAGAATTGGAATTGGGTATTAGAAGCAGGGAGATGAATTACAAAATGATGGCATCACACAGATAATAGTTGACAAAGACTGAAATAGGGACAGGAGAAATTTTGCGTGGTTTCCTTGTCATGTCTAAAATATGGTTATATGGTTGCGTGGTTTCCTTGTGATGTCTAAAATATTTCTATTTGGTTTCAAAAGATTTTTGCTGTGTTTTTCAGGTTGATCGCCAACCCCAGTTTATTCAGGGCTACCGAGTGATGTATCGTCAGACCTCCGGCCTGCAGGCAACATCAACTTGGCAGAATTTAGATGCCAAAGTCCCAACTGAGCGAAGTGCTGTCTTAGTCAACCTGAAAAAGGGGGTGACTTATGAAATTAAAGTTAGACCCTATTTTAATGAGTTCCAAGGAATGGACAGTGAATCTAAAATAATTCGTACTACTGAAGAAGGTCAGTATTCAGATTTCTAACAAAAGCCAACTTAAACCATAATGGAGGCAATTTCTTTCTTTTTTTTTAATTTTATTTTTTTTAATCAAAGAGAGAAGAGAAAGTGAGCATAATCAGGGGAAGTGGGAGGCAGAGGGAGAAGCAGGCTCCCCACTGAGCAAGGAGCCCAATATGGAACTCAATCCCAGGACCCCAGGCTCATGACCCAAGCGGAAGGCAGCCGCTTAACTGGCTGAGCCACCCAGGAGTCCCAAGATAATTTCTGTTGAAGTTCTAGTTTATCATCTACCTTAGAGAAATAGCAAGAGAGAATATAAAAAGTGAATTCAGGAAGTGGCATTTTCTCTTTTTATTCTAGAATCTCATAGAATATGAGAACTTTAAAAAAAAAAAAAAAGACATTCGAGTAAGGGTTTTTTTTTTTCTTAAGCAGACATTTGTTCCAAATTTTACCAGTATGCTGGAATTTGATTACAATATTTTCCCATTTTTTTTTTCTTAACATGGTTGAGTTCATTTGGCTTCATTAAATAAGGATGGGGTTACTGTAAACTCAAGAATGCAGGCTGTTCATTGTCACTTTCCTGTTTTTGATGTAGTAAAGCACGACATTTTCTTTTATAAGCCTCCTTCCCCATGGACTCTGCTTGTCTGACTCATAATTGCTAATCAGAAGGCCACTTGCATGTTTGCAATAGCATTCTCATTAGTGACATTTTCTCCCCCTCCCCCATTTGGAAACTTTTTTGCACACAGATACTTTAAAGTCAATTTGTGATGGACGTGAAATTAATGTAGTTTTGACCAGTCCCTGTACTAGTGTCTCCTTTCCTAAACTAGAGGCTTATAATAAATGGTATTATCAAAGTACAAAAAGGTCAGATGCCAAGTGTAATAACCCCCTCCTTTTCTGCTTTTCTACTAATTTTATTTACAAAGCTCCTGGAAAACGGCCATTTTTCATAAATCAGTATGAAAGCAATCTTAAGAAAATGTATATAAGTTACTTATGGTACCATAGATGTCCATGTTTGACCAAAGAGCTTTTAAATTGCACATATCTTTAATCAGCATCACAGTGAAAATGTTCTGCCCACACATGTGTACGCTGTGATACGCTGACGTGAACAGAAGTACATATCTTTAAAGACATTAATCAACTCCTAGGATATATAAAGAAAAAAATTATTAAAAATTAATAATAATATCTTCATCCATCATTAAATTCTACTTTATGTTGAAAATGTGTAGTACTAATGACTGGAGTGGGTGTATTTAATATAGAGTGCCATATTTAAAGCACACTTCCAAAAATGTATTTCCGCTGAAGTTAGGCTTTTCCTCTGGATTAGACATCTTTCACCGTTCAGCATGCTTTCCTTTAGAGTTTATGTGGCCCTCTGAAGGTAACAAATGGAGCTCAGCGGGGCTGTGTGTGGGAATGATAAGCAGTGATTTGGGTTCCTTCACATCTGTAGAAGCGGAGCACTGGAATAATTGACCTGCTGGGAAGCAGGCATGGTGTTCTCTCTAAGCCAGCAGCAAGGCAAATGAGAAACCAGTTTTCAAGTGTTATTTTTCAGTGCAATCTACTCAATAACTACAAAACTAGTGAACAGGTGGTTAGATTTATGTCATCGTGCCATATTTTGCAGCAATATTATCAGACAGAGGAATGATACAGAGCAGTATTGTGCTACCGTGTCTGTATATATCCTCTATCTCAGTGCCGTATGGGCATTCCTCAATGACAAATTTATGAAACATGGGAGACTTAATTGATAGGCTTTTAAAATATCCTTTACCATTCAATTGTACACATGTTCGAAGGATTAAACTGTATAGAGTTATGAAAGCATTGAACCTTTCACATAAAAATCCTTTAATACCACAAATTCTTTGAATTTTGTTTCAACTATTGTTTCATTTTGTTTTTCCTACTCATAGATTTAAGGAGAATTGATAAATTTTCCTATAAAATTAGTATTTTTCAGCTCTCAGACTGGAGAGCAGATGCTGCAGTCTAAAATCAGAAATTTTTTCTCACTCATCTTTTCTCAGTGTGATTATAATTAGTTATAGGAGAAACCATAAAGGATGGGAACTGTAGGAAATTAAAATCTATCCATTTCACACTCGACCCAACATGAACTGTTTTCATTTGTAACTTCAGAGTTTCTTTCCCATCAATATAAAATAAGTTTTAAATCTTAAATTATGAGTCAATGTATAAGTCAATTATTTTTCCCAATACGAAAAAAAAGGTATTTTTTTCTTATGTTGGTGAAATTTATTGCTGTGTTTCTGTTTTTATGTATTAAACACAAAACAAAACCAAACAAGAAGATTATTAGTGGCACCACTCAGAGATAATGGTTGATGAAAATTTGGAATACATTCTCTCAGAATATTTTTTTTATAAAGATTTTACTTATTTATTTGACAGAGATCACAAGTAAGCAGAGAGGCAGGCAGAGAGAGAAGGGGGGAAGCAGGCTCCCTGCTGAGCAGAGAGCCCAGAGCCCAATGCGGGGCTCGATCCCAGGACCCTAAGATCATGACCTGAGGTGAGGGTAGAGGCTTAACCCACTGAGCCACCCAGGAGCCCCACTCTCAGAATATTTTTGATAGGAGTGTTTTTTTTAGTAAGAGATCCTGCTTATTTTCACATGGATCAAAACTCTAGAACCAGACATACCTAGGTTGAAATTCTGCCTTGATGTTTCACTTGGATAATTCTCGTACAGTTGTCTTCGCTTTCCTTTTCTGTAAAACTGAGATAAGAATTGTTTTTACTTCTTGAGGTTAGTGTGATCATCAAATATGATGCTTAACTCAGTGTGAGGCATATAGAAAACACTCATCAGAATGTTAGCTGTTAAATTTATTAGCGAGCACATATTAGCAAAGCTGTTGTGTTTGCATTAGACCTATCCATTATATTTAAAGGGCAATTTTTGGAAAAAAAAAAAACTGTCACTGTTGAATACTACGTGCAAAATAGGAGTTACTGGAAACCAGACCTCTTGCTTCTTGTCTTCATATCCATATTCTATAAGCAGTATTAATGCACATCAAGACTTACAGTTGGTGTTTACCCTAATTGCTTCCTTTGCAGCCCCAAGTGCCCCTCCACAATCTGTCACTGTGCTGACAGTAGGAAGCCACAATAGCACAAGTATTAGTGTTTCCTGGGATCCTCCTCCTCCAGATCATCAGAATGGAATCATCCAAGAATACAAGGTAGGACCTGGGTGAAGAAGCCGGGCTCACAGAAGGGCTTCCCAGAGATCTCAGTGTCACATGCATGAAGCTCATCTCCAGAAGCCCTCTTGTTGAGTCTGAGTGTAAAGTAATTTTTCTATCTTTGTGTGACAGGTAAAGAAACAAATGCATAGGGGATTGGGACCTAACTCCAAGACACAGATAACAAAAACTCACTTGGACAAGTAAACCAGAGCAGTGGAGTGTTTTTGTTTTGTTTTGTTTTGTTTGGGGAGGGGGGTTGTAGAGCATGATTCCAGAACCTCAGAGAGTTAGAGAGATTGGGTACAGAGTAGGTGGTGAAGCTCTCATCCTAAAAGTCCTGTATCATTATTATTAAATTTCTGCGTAAGGGGCCTTAGCAGGGATATTTTTAAACTGTGGTCTCATAAAAAGATGCTTCCAAGGTTTAGAGGGTTGGGGTGGGGATAGGAGGGTGGACAGCACCAACTCCCACTCTTAAGTCCTCTTTTGGTCAATTTATTGAGGTTTTGTAAAATATTTCACTTGAAAAAAGGAGCCATTATAAAAACAAATTATGAAAAAACTTATAAATGTAGTTTATTATCTCACTTTTCTAATGATAATTTTGTTGCTGTTTAGAAGCTATAGATCCATTGTTTTCCTGCCATCGTTTGATGTTTAAGAGACAAAAGAAGTCTAACTTTGGGAAATAAGACTGACTAGTGACTAGTGATGTGATTAGAACACATACGATAGTAAAACACCTCATTAAACCTTATAAAAGTTCAAAACTATGATTTTGCTATTAATAAATGTATATGGGATTCTAATAATTAACATGTTGTATATATCTATTAGAATAGAAAACTAGACACCCCATCTCACCCAAAAAGTTTAGAGTTGATATGTAAAATGAAGCTGAATAATTGTAGTGAAAGCATTGCAGGTTGAGTTCTGTTATTTCTAAGAAAAAATAAAATTCAAAATAGAATTTTCTTAAATTAATGAATGATTAGTTTACTGATACCATGAACACAAGCACTTATTCTAAAATTATCCCCATCACTTTATAAAGAAACGTGTAAGAAATATAAGAATCACAATTACTTATAAATATATATGCATACATATAAATTTTACAAGGATTAGGGTACAATGGTAAAGAATGATCTATTCTGATATGTATGTTTTAATGAGGTTAGGATTTTACCTTTGTATCATTTGGAACTAAATATCTTAAACTTCCATTTACTGATATACCAATATTGATTATAACATGGTATTTTTTGTTATAAGTTGTAAGCTTTCTCACTCCTATGAGAGTGCCTTATTTTGGTAACAAAGTGTATATTTTAGTTAGGCCTAAATATTCCTACATTAGTAACAAAGATATCATTGTGTAAATAAAAGAAATATATAGGAATTACTTTAAATAAAAAGTTCCAGGAATTTGCCTGTTTCAAAAACAAACCATGTGTATTTCCACTTATGTATCTCCATGTAGATTATGAAATACTGTAGATTATGAATGCAAATATGTATACACAATATGATCCTTTTTATAATGCATTTGACAGTAACAGATCTCCATATCCCAGGACAAAGTATGCTTTAAAGTATGATTCTTACTTAGAGTAAAAGCCTGGATTTTTTCACATTGGTTTTCAAAGACTATCTACCACTCTGTTCTCATGAATGTGTCTGTGTATATGTCCATATGTTTTGATCGATATTGAGATTTATTACTGTCAATGTAAATATTGGCCTTAATTTCATCTCAGTCAATACTTATAACTTAGGTCAATTAATCTTGTTAACTACTTCTGGGTAAGTTAATAGTTTCTTAAATAGAATATAAATTACTTAGATGTGCACCTATATCCATTGGATATTACAACTAATAATCACCATATTTTAATAGATTATATGCATAATAAACCTTGATAAATAAATTAAGCAGAGAAGTTTATGTGTTTTAATCCATACCCAAATACTGTTTGCAACCAAGAAACACTTTCCAGAAGTGTTTAAGGAATCACTGCATTATATGCATTCAGTGTTGGTTGTAAGATATAAAGGAACATGGCGTGGTTTTAGCTTCTCTTACTGTTCTTCCTTTAATACACACACATACAACACACATGTAGATAAATAAATTGCAAATATTAGCCTTTAGAAAATGTCATTTACAAATATTTCTATAAGCCAAGAGAATAGATCGGTCACTACTAAAAAAATAGGTCATCAATTTGACAGAAAGGATAATTTTATATTCTTTTTGTTTCTCGCTTTACATTTCTATAGATCTGGTGCCTGGGGAATGAAACACGATTCCATATCAACAAAACTGTGGATGCAGCCATTCGATCTGTAATAATTGGTGGATTGTTCCCAGGTATCCAATACCGGGTAGAGGTTGCCGCTAGCACGAGTGCAGGGGTTGGAGTAAAAAGTGAGCCGCAGCCAATAATCATTGGTGAGTATATCTCTGTGGCCTGTTATCAGTTAGCCAACTGGTAAAACGGTAGATGATGTTTTTAATCTGTATCCCAGCAGTAGTTCTGCAGCAATGAGAAGAGGGTGCACTCATCACATAGGCAAATGGGTTGACTGACTAGGGTTTCTTCTAAAAATAGTTAGCAATTTCTTGTGCTCTTAAGTTTCCCAGAAACTTCTTCAAATTATAATCACTGAGGGTTTAAAGGCTGAAAGTCAGATTGAAAATAATTTTTAATCAATAATTTCACTAACAATTTTGATGTCATTGAAATATAATAGGAAATGAGACAGTTACTGAAGAAAGTGCATTGTGTTTCAAATCCTCTAAGCAAGAAAGATGTCAAAATTTAACCAGAAACAGGCCAAAAGGAACTTTGTAATCCAAATATATTATCCCAAATAAGAAATCCATATTAAATGCACTATAATCATCACAGACAATTTTTCCCTATTAGCATTGATTATGTTTGCCTGTTCTTGAAATATATGTAAATGGAATCACACAGAATATAAAACCTTGTGTCTGGCTTCTTTCACTAAACAATGTTTTTGAGATTTACCCGTGTATGTATCATGCAATTCATACGTTTTTGTTTCTGAGCAGTGTTCAATTGCACGAATATATCTTATTTTGTTTCTCTGCTTTTCTCTTGAGGGTATGGACATTCCTGTGTAAGTCTTTTTGAGGACATATGTTTTTATTTCCTTTGGAGAGATACCTAGAGGTGGAATTTTTACGTAATAGGATTGACATAGTTTATAAGAAACTGTAAAGACTTTCATATTATTGTATAATTTTATACTTTCACTAGCAAAGAATATGACTTGCATTTTTTCTACACCATCACCAACATTTGATGTCACCCATCCACAATTTTTGTCATGCCAATGAGTATGAAAGTGTACCTCACTATTGTCTTTACTTCAGTTTTCTTTGATGACTAATGATGTTGAACAACATTACATGTGTTTTATTGGTCATTCACATATTTTCTTTTGTACCATTTCCAAGTCTTTGCCTTTTCAAAATGTGTTGTTTCTCTCTTGTTACTGGATAGGAGAACTAATACATTCTGGATACAAACTCTTTGTCATATAGTTTTTCATTGCAAATATTTTTTTCCTCATCTATGGATTCCCTATTTTTTTTTATTAATAGTGTCTTTTGATTAGTGAATTTTTAAATTTTAGTGAACTACAATGTACCACATTTTTCTTTTATGTTTAGTGATTTCTAAGAAATTGTGTCCTATCTGTAGATAGCAAAGATATTTCCTTAGATTTTCTTCTAGCAGCCTTATAATTTTAGCTCTTATGCTTATGTCTATAACTCATCTTAACGTAATTGCATGCATTTTGAGAGTTGAGGCTTATTTATTTTCCTAAGTATATCAGCACATGTTTTCTTAAATTATTCCCTATTTTATTTTTGTAAGTATATTTATTAAATTCTTTTACCACTTATTCTGTACTATATGTAAACTTACTTTTATATATTACCCTTTCACCTTATGTCCTTCTTCACCTCACTTATTTATTTTAATAATTGTGGCATATTTTTTCAGGGTGTATTCAAACAATGTTCTGTCTCCTTTCTTCCTATATGTGTTAATATGGTAAAATCTATTGAATCATTTCAAAAGTGAATAAATCTTTCATTCCTGGGATAAATCTCACTTGGTCAAAATACATTATGTTTTCTACAGATATTATTGCATCCAATTTGCTAACATCTGCTAAAGAAGTTTGCATCTACGTTCATGAGGGATAGTGACCAATAGTTTTCTTCTAATGTCTTCGTCAGGTTTTAGAATCAGGATGACTAGCTTTATAAAAGGGGATGGGAAATATCCTATTCTCGGCTGCAGTCTAAGAGTTTTTGTGGGCCTTTTGTGGGCCTTTTATTTTCTTCCTTAAATTCTTTCTAGAATTAGTTATAATATCTGTGCCTAGAGTTTTCAGGGTGCCTGGGTGGCTCAGTGGGTTAAGCCACTGCCTTCGGCTCAAGTCATGATCTCAGAGTCCTGGGATCGAGCCCCGCATCGGGCTCTCTGCTCAGCAGGGAGCCTGCTTCTTCCTCTCTCTCTGCCTGCCTCTCTGCCTGCGTGTGATCTCTCTCTGTCAAATAAATAAATAAAATCTTAAAAAAAAAAAAAATCTGTGCCTAGAGTTTTCTTTGTATATTCTCTTTGTATTTATGAATTTGCATTTATTTAGAATTGTTATTATTCCTGTGCTGGTTGTATTAAATGGATTTTTGGTTTTGCCATCAGTGAATTTGTCTAACTTATCTAAGTTCTTGAATTTATTGTTATATGCTTAATTGCATTATCTCCTTATTTATAATCCACTTTAATTGTAATGTTGCAGGATGTGTAGTTATGTCTTCTCTTTTGTTTTTTTAAAAGATTTTAGGGGTACCTGGGTGGCTTAGTGGGTTAAAGCTTCTGCCTTCGGCTCAGGTCATGATCTCAGGGTCCTGAGATCGAGCCCCACTTCGGGCTCTCTGCTTGGAGGGGAGCCTTCTTCCCCCTCTCTCTCTGCCTGCCTCTCTGTCTACTTGTGATCTCTATCAAATAAATAAAATCTTAAAAAAAATAAAATAAAAGATTTTATTTATTTATTTATTTATTTATTTAAGAGAGAGGGAGGACACAAGAAGGGAGGAAGGGCAGAGAGAGAGGGAGAAACAGACCTCTGCTGAGCAGGGAACCTGATGTGGTTCTCCATCCTAGGACCCTGAGATCCTGACCTTAGCCAAAGGCAGACACTTAACCAATGGAGCCACCCAGGTGCCCCTCATCTCTTTTTATTCTTATGCTGAGAATTCATGTTCTCTCTCTCTTTTTCTTCTCCCTCCCTTTGTTTTGCAAACCCCCAACCATCCCTTTAATTTCAAGCAGCCTTGTTAAAGATTAATCAATGTTTTTAATCTTTTCAAAGTATAAACTTTTGGGGTACCTGGGTGGCTCAGTGGGTTAAGCCTCTGCCTTCGGCTCAGGTCATGATCTCAGGGTCCTGGGATGGAGCCCCTCTGCTCAGCGGGGAGCCTGCTTCCCCCCTCTCTCTCTGCCTGCCTCTCTGCCTACTTTGATCTCTGTCAAATAAATAAATAAATGAAATCTTTTTTAAAAAAAGTATAAACTTTTGGCTTTGCTAGTTTTATTTATTTGTTTTCTAATTAATTAATTTCTGCATTTTTTCTTCGACTTACTTTTTGTTGCTTCTTAAGATGGAAATTTATACTGGTGATTTGGACCTTTCTAATACAGATACTTTGTTATAAATTTCTTACTAAGCACATCTTCAGCTGAATCTTACACATTTTGAGGTATTATGTTTCCATTTACCACGATGTTGAAAATACTTTTCACTTCACCTAAAGATTTCGTTCTCTTTGCAGAGGTTGTTTAGCAGTGTATTGTTACATTTCCAGATATTTTGGAATTTCACAAATAACCTTTTCTTTCTGATTTGTAATTTAATTCCACTGTGGTTAGAAAATGCACATTGTATGAATTTAGCCTTTTAAATATGGAGAATTATTTTATGGCTTAACATTTGGTCTTAGGGAATGTTTCTTGTGCCTTTGAAAAATATGTGCATTTTTCTGTTCTGGAGTGGAATGTTCCGTAAATGTCATGTTAAATTAGTTGGTAGTATCATTCAGGTCTTTACTGATTTTCTGCCTGTTTACTCTTTCAATAAATAAAAAAGGAGTCTGGAAATTTATTATAATTAAAGATTTTTGTATTTCTTCTTTCTGTCTATAAGTTTTTATTTCATTTATTTTACTACTTGTTTTAAGTGACTACATCTTAGAATTGTTACATCTTATTAGGGAGCTTACCCTTTATCATTATGGAATGCCCCGCTTTATTACCTAGTAAGATTCTTTGTCCTAAAATGTACTTTGTCTTATATTAGTATAGCTACATTATATTAAAAGTGTTTACATAGTTTGTGTTTTGTTTCCATCCTTTTACAGAGATATTGTACATTTCTACTATTTATATTACATATTAAGTCTCTTTGAAAGTCAATATATAATCTTTGCCTTTTTATTGGAATGTTTAGACCATTAACTTCAATGTAATTAGTGATGCATTTGGGCTTAGAATTACCATCTTGCTATTTATTTTCTATCTGAATTTGTTCCTATTTTCTTAGTTTCTTCTTGTTGAATTAAGTCACTTTCTGTATTCTATTTTATATCTACTATTGGATTGTTAGGTTTAAGGTTTTTTTTAAAATAATGGTTACTCTAGGATTTACCTAGCAAGACCTTAAAAAAATATAATTCCATTTTCATTCCTCTCAGTATTTTTGCCATTGTTATAGTTTTACTCTTACATAGTAAACACCAATATACAAACTAAAGTAGTATTATTATTTGCTTTGCTTTAAACCATTAGTTATCTTTATCTTTTAAGTAAATTAAAACTAAGAAAAAATTTTATGTTACTCATTTTTATCAGATATTCTGTTCTAAAAATTCAGTTTCCTCAGTCTCCCTGAGTTCCTCTATCTCTTTAATACAGGAATTTTGTTTAGCCACATTTGGGTTCCCCTTCAGTGCATCACATTTTAGTATTAACATTATCTTCAGATCAAATATGAAAATAGTAAAATCTCCCTTTTTTTTTACTTCCCCTTTCTCACAATCCTGCCCTTTTGTTTTACATACTTTGCCAATTTTTCTACTTATTTATGGGAGGATTATGTGTCCCATACCTATTATTTCTTTATGGGCAGAAATAGAGGTATCCAGTGAATTATTAATTTTATATAATATACTTTTCTGTTCTAGAATTTCCATTTGTTTTCTTTTACATGTTCCATTTATTCTAATAGCTACTTTAAAGTCCTTTTCTCCTCATTTCAACGTCCGTGTCATCTCATGGTCTGTTTCTATTGGTTACCTTTTCTCTTAACATTTGGTTGTCTCTTACTATTTTTTTCCTTCTTTCTTCTTTT